ATTTAACATTACATAATAATTAATAATTGTTAGTTAATTGTTTATAGTCATTAACATCATCTTGAGATTGTTAATTGTTAGTCAATAACATATCATCTTGAATAATTCCAAAGTATTAAAAAAATATCAGTAAATCTTTAGCTTGATTTAATAATGAGACATTGTGTCTATAGTTGCCATAAATTTCATATAAACTTGTATCTTCATAATTTTAAATGAAAGAAATCGTTTTATTAATAAAAACATGAAATTCTCATTTTTAAAACTCATTTTGTCTTCCAAATATTGTTAATACTTTTTTTTTAGTCCACGGATCAATTTTTCCAATTCGAATAATCAAAAAATGCAATAACTATTTATTTTTATTTTTTAATATTTAACAATTCATCTAATTGTTTAAATACGCCTTAAAAACCAATGCTGATAATGTTGAAAGTTCAATACAAAATAACTCATACATTAAGCCATTGTTCCAGTACTATTTCCGAATTGTCTCGATCGAATTAAAATTTAGCAGGGATTATTTTTTATAAATTGAGACCATTCTAGGGAGTTCTGTGGAAAGAATTCGGAAAAAAAATTTCAACCAAGTGTAAATGAGAACCACCTTAACATACATATGTGTATATAATACCGTTTGTCTTTAAATAGCATAAGTATTTAATGTTCATTAAATTTAAAATTCGTTATACAATATTTTTCAATAAAATATTTTTCCTTTCTTATTAAACAGTAGTAGTAATTTTTGTTAAAACTTCATTTTTAAATTCAAATAACATTAAAACATTATATCATCTGTTAAACACAGAAAATGACTTATTCAGAGAATAATTAAAATTTCATTAAATTTATTGAAACATTAAACTAATTTCATCAAATTTTGTTAAAATTTTTCCATCAAAAATTAAATTAACAAAAATGTAAATTTTAATCAAGAAAATCTTTTCTATAAAATAGACAAAAATGAGAGAGAGAGAAAAATTTTTAATAAGATAAAAAATATAAAAATGTCATTAGCAAGAGTTTAGCGCAATATGGCTTTACTTCGAGCCATCTTTATTGATATTATGTAAAATACATGTAATATAATATTGTAATTTCTATTTTCCAAACAAACATTAAAAAGAAGAAATTTATTGCTGAACACTCTCATTGCTAATTATATTATTATGTTTTTATATTTTTTAAAAACAGAATTACCTTATTGAACTTAATGAGAATACATGGTTGTAATGGATCAGTATATCCATACGGAGGCTGCCCACAAACACCAAGGCTTTCAATATCGAAAAAACAAGGTTTTGTATTAGATGTGATTAGTGCACCATCACTACATTCCGCAACTGTTTTATAGTTCTCTTTACTTTTATTGTATTCTAAAATGAAAATGTTAGTTACCTTTTTTTTCCTTATTTTTATTAAAATAAGCAACATTTTGCTTAAAAGTAAAAGTTTCTCCATTCAACTTATTCCATTCAATTTATCTTTTATATTATCTAAAAATACACTTAAAGAATTTACAACAGAAATCAAATAAATTCATATTTTTTAAATCTGAATTATGGAGCCAAATTGTTCTCAATAAATATTCAGAAAAGGGGATTTTCAATGACCTTGACCTTAACATATGGGCTGGGGAAACGCTATTAACGCTATTTGTGTTATTCTATCTTCATCGTCGTAGATGTGAGAATAATATTACATATATGATGTTCCTCGAATGCATCCATGTTATTTCATTCCAACTGTCATTTTGAGTTCGTCATTTTTAATTTTTAAAAACGGTATATGGCATATAGACATCGAGCAATAGACATTTCAAGGAAAATTTTAAACCATTTTAAAGAATTTTATCTCAAAAGTTGAAATATAATAACTTAAAGGGTCTCTTTTGTCAATTTCTGATTAAATTAATCGATGATCAAGTGTCAACAGCAGTTTAATGTATCAAAATGTCGCCTTTCTCTTCCTCTTCTGTGTTTAGTTCTCATGTTGGCGTGATGATTGTGTGTGTCTTCCAACAAGCGGCACAGTATGACACAGTGATCATGTCATTTTTGTTTAACATTGGCAAACAACATGGATGTAATCCATTGTGTCATACTGTCATTTGTGTCGCTCGTTAAAAGGCACACTGTATTAAACATCGATTAGCATTAATCAGGATTGATGAAAGAGGCCCTCAGTTTTGATTTCTTCAAACGTTCCAACCTGTGGTTCCAATGTAAGGTCTATTCTTTATTTCTGCACTACCTGAACTGATGCACATGGTGCAATAAATTGAAATGAAACAAATTACATGTGTTTCACTTCAACTTATTACTGTATGTATCAATTCAGACAGGAATAAAAAACAGACCTATGATCCTCTTCAGTAATACATATTTATTATGTCAAATAAATTTTAATAGTTATGTACATTGTTATCAGCCATCTTGAGAAATATTGTCCGTTAATACATATAATAGGATGTGTCTGTAAATACTATACATTCCTCAAGCAAATTAATATTGTCAAATAAGTAAATATGAGTAGATCTTCATTTTTTTTTAGATATAACGTTCAATCTAAATTTTTAAAGGAAAGTCTACTTGTATTGTTGTCTTGATAATTGTCCGCATTCATAGTGTATATAGATCTTATGTTTAAGAAAGCCTTAAAGTCAAGGTCTGACTATGAATACAGGCATTAGTATATCAGTTTGCTTGAGGGATATAGTATCTATATAGACACATCATATTAAATGGACAATTGATATATTCCTCCAGATAATAATGTAGATTCAAATTTATTTGATATCTAATTGCTGATGTATCTGACATTTGAAATAAATATGTATCACTGAAGAGAACCATATTAAAGAATAAAAACGTTTAAAAAAATCATAATATTGATTTTATTTCTTATTAGAAAAAACATCCAGACTTGGTTTGAGCTTTTAGCTTTCTGTATTATATTTTGTATAAAATTATTATAGCTTTGTACATTATTGAAATAAAAATAATACATTATTGTTTCATTTTGTGTCACAAATGATAATTTCATGACCCAAGAAATTTTTTTTCGATTAAAAAATAAAACATGTAATTCTGTATTATAAGCAAAACTGGATTTAAGATTCTCAAACTTGTTTTGGATTGAATAGCAATTATATCATTTCCTGTATCATGAATGAAAATGGATTGCGCAGTTTATTTTTGTTCATGAAACTTTTTTTCGATTGAAAAAAAATAGAAATTCCATAGTTTCAAGTCCCTTATCAAGAGAAAAGGATACGAAAAAATCAAGAATTTGGATCCGACAATAAACATGCGAAATTATATCTATTTATTTCAATCTCTTTCCGGATACTGGATTATTAATTAAAGATTCTAATTATTAATGCTCGCATTATTTGTTTTCATCTGATGTCCATACCTTGTAAAAAGTCACTCAAGGCTTGCACATATCTTTTTGGTCGAGCGTTCGTATTAAAATTATCTACCCAAATAATAGGAGATTTCGTGGGTAACAAAATATTCGGTTTGAAAGCAATTCCTTAAACAAAATATTACAATATCAAGGATATCCTCTCAATAATTGAAAATTAATTAAAATGGATTGAATCTTTTATATGTATTTTAAGTTCATTGAAATATATCAATTAAATAGAAAAACTGCATTTCCTATTTAGAATTTTAAATTAAGCAATATTCACAATGCACAGAAAAAGCTGATATTATTTTTAGATTGGAAGATATAGAAATGTGCTTCATGCAATTTTTTTTCTATAAATGAATAAAAATGCATTCGGATTTGAAAAAAGTTTATTTTAATATTTACAAATGCATATTTCTAAAAACCTAAATTTCAATCCATTCTAGTTTAAAAAATGGGCTATTAGAATCAATTGAAGTAGCATATTGTGTGTTTTATTAGTTTTTATTAGTTTTTAAGAAAATTTTACCTGGATTATCAAAATGTAATTGACGAAAAAGCGGAAAATTGCCACCAAAATAAGATTTAGGCATCAAACCGTTATAAAGAAAAAACGGTCTTTCTAATTTCGAAGCATAATTGATACTGATCCACATTTGGAATGCAAACAAGGAACCCAATACGGTAAAGAAACACAAGTAAAAGAATCCCACTAAGACTATTCAAGTAGACAATCATATAATTCCACAACGATTAGCAATTGAAAAAATATACCCCTTAATAATTACCCCATTCTTTTCCAGTTCTACCAAGCAACTGTCTTGTATCTGGACTCCAAACAAATCGCAAAAAATTTTGAAATGCTCCTAAATCAGGCTCGGGTATTCTACTTCGATAATATTCATCGTCATGCAAAATAACCATTTCAAGGATTTCTTATTGTTCATTTATGACAAAATTAATGAAAAAATAATTGAATGTATTATGAAATGTACATGTATTATGAAGTGAGCAATAAACAATTTTAATATTGCTCTCATGGTCAGAATCAGATTCTGATTTCACCATGATTGCTCTACTCACTACCGATTGATAGAATTAAGTAAAATTTTATGTAGATTCACAATAGATCTGTTTTTTATTCCCGCACTTGCTGAACTAATGCACAAAGAATAATGTGTTAAAGTGGAATGAATATATGTTTGTTTCACTTTGACTAATTACACAGTAAGCACTAGTTCAGAGAGTGCAGGAATAAAACACACACACACACACACACACACACACACACACACACACACACACACACACAGAGAGAGAGAGAGAGAGAGAGATCTAATTACAATGTATCCTGAGGTAATTCAATAACATAAGAAAGAATTAAAAGAATAATCAAAATAATTTTAATAAAAAAAATTTAATTTTTTAGAACAGCTTAGTTGAAAGTTTACATATTTATTTCATTAAATTTTACAAAAATTGCCTAACCATAACTATCAACTGTTAATATATATTATATTCTATATTATTATGTACAATATTATTTCCTCTTGGTTTTATCAAGCTTAATAATAATAGACAACTCATTTGTGAAAAAATCTTAAGTATACAATTATACCAAGAATAATTAATTCCAGTAAAATAATCAAGATTAACACAATTTTGTTTGTCAAAACCTTTAGTCGCATAACATTCAGAATTTTTTTCGTTTTATCCAATTCCTCATCTGTCTGTGACAATCTCCTTTTTGCGCGCAAGAGACGATCTCTTTGTTCACCTAATTCAGAGATCACTTCTGTACCAATTTGCTCATTCTCTGCTGCGACAACTTGCGATCTTGCGACTGATTGTGCCGAACGTTCTAATACTGCACTTCCATCCAGCAAAATACGTCGATGTTCAACATCCCAATCCACTCCAAAGTTCATCTTGTTTATTATATCACTCAATTTGGCATACGGCAACGAAGAATAAAGAGTGAATATGATTGAACGTTATTTTTGTACTTTACATATTCTCCCTTGTAGCATCCAAAAAATCAAAGCTACTACAATGGCAATATAGTAGATAGTAAATATATATAATAAAAAAAAATATTTCCATATTGTAAATGTTAGATATAAAAAATTACCTATTTGATGAAAATTCTTAGAAATGACGACTCTTATTTCATCTGAATAAATTATCTATGTTTTTTATCGTTTATTTATCGAATTCCCTACACTTACTACATAATCATTTGCCACTATTGTCTATTTGCATCAATTCGCAGAACAGTAACAAGAAACGACAATCACGGTCATCAACATAAAATCTCAAGATATATCTAGGATACTCTTTAGGATCCTCTCCTGTAGGGTGCGTTCGGATTTCTCAAGACTTAAGCTGGAAACACAATGAAAAGCACAGGCAATAGGAATAAAAGGGAATAAAAGATTTCAACCTATCAGAAAGCGTCCATTCTATTATTCATGGTTTCTGATAAATTGAAATCTCTTATTCCCTGTTCCTATTGCCTGTGCTTTTTATTGTGTTTCCAGCTTTAAACACAATAGACACAGGCAACAGGGAATAACGAGCCATCCAATCAGAGCTCTGGGATATAATATCGAACTTGCACTTCAGGGCTCTGATTGGACGGCTCGTTATTTCCTGTTATTTGTACCTATTGTGTTTAAGCTTTCATTCAGTAAAGAGATTCACTAGATTTATAAAATACTCGCCTAATAAACTCGCCTCCATATTGAAACGCGGCTATTTCAAATTTATGCATTTGTATACTTTATTTGAGAAAATAAAGTCAAGTATATAAATAAGTGTTTTTAATTGTAATTAAGTAATTTACTTATAAAGAAAAAAATGTATGAATGCTTAATTATGTATTATATAATTTAAAACTGGTTTATTTGTTGTAGAAGTTTAATGCATATAAAAGTATTACTCGCTATCTTACAGTCAATCAACACACTTGAAAAATTTGTCGTACGACAAAAAACAATATCGCGAATAATATTGACTAGATGCCAATTGACATGAAGCGCAGAAATGCGGAAACGCGGAAGACAAAATTAATTAAACTTTTTTTTTTGAGTACAATTTGAGCGGAAAAGCGGAACGGGGAATTAGAAATTATTAATTTTTAATGGTATTTATTGATTAAAATGCTTGTATTCAATATATAAGCTAAAAAGATAAGCATATTAATAAAAGTTGCAATAAATTAAGTGAATACAATTTTTTTAAATGAATACAAAAGTGTATTTGTCATTATATCGTTCCGCTTTCTCATGGAAATTGTGCATATAAATAAATGTTTTACTTACAAACAAAATTCAAATGCAAACAAAACAAAATTCTGAAGAATTATCAGCAGCTGTGAGATGATAAAAAATAAGCGAACTTTTTGAATTACTTAGCAACGGAGCATCCTAGCGACGTGCGGTTTGTAGCACTACAATCGTTATAATCTTCCAAGTAACTGGCTTTTTAAAAATTATTTACATCTCGTCTAGTTTCAGAGTTATTGCTATTTAAGTGCAATGTGTTTTAATATTTGTGGCCATTTCCGCCTCGAATTGAATTTGTATTTTGGGAACTGATTTTAATATTAAGAACAAGAAAAAGACGCAGAGAGCAAGGGAGTCTAGAGAGGATAGTCAGCTGATTTTTGGCATAAAAATTTTGCGAATTGACAAGGCTGAGTGGGTAGGCACATTGTTATGGTGAAGGAACCATGAGTTGTCTCGCCACAATTGTGGTCTTTTTTGCAAATTTTTGCATTTTTTTCGCACAATGCCTTTTCAAAACGCCATCAGTACTGGCGATTAGTTGTTTGACCTTGAGGCAAAAATTGCAAAAATTCATTTCGAGGCAAAAACTACGAGCACTAAAACACGTTGTATTCAAATAGCAATAATTCTATAAGAAATTAAGCCAATTACTCGGAAGATTATAATAATTGTAGTGCTGCAAACCGCACTAGAACTTCCGTTGCCGAGTAATTCTCGCTCATTTTTTTATCAGACTTCGTGTACCAAATCATTTATTTAATTTTCATCAGAAAAGTGTAGAAATTGGTGCAAGTCAAAAAAGAATAATAGTAATAGAGAACGATTGCAACGAAAATTATAATTTATTCTAAAAGATGAGAACCTACATAAAGAATTACAAAGTATATTCTTTATGTATGCGTTAATAACGCATTTAAGTATTCCATTTAAATATTCCAGCTTCTAGCAACTCAAACGAGTCAATTAAACAGTATAATTTCTCACCAACCTGTCAAAAAATAAAACAGCACGAGTAATTCTGCAGATTTTCGAGTTGCGATTGCTATTTTATTAAAAAATGTAGGAAATGCTTATGTAAAAAGTATTATGTAAAAAGAAAGTTTAGGCTTTTTATAAACGAGCACACAGAACTGTATTGTATAAATACAGATAAATTTAAAGAATCAAGATCTATTAGATCTAAAACTTTAAAAGCTAAAAAACGCAGAAGTTGTGAATGCATGCAATTGTGAATTAATTATAAAAAAACAGATTGTGAATGCACTTTTAGACTACGGATTGAATAGAGATCCTCTAATCAAAGTCTGGCCATCTGAAGTGGCCGCCATTCTTCATCGAAATTGTGCGAAGGGAAAAAGTCATGCTATCTCACTTTATCTCACGCTACAGTGGCTGTAAGTTGCAGCTCTATAGAGATGTTCTGTAAGCTTCACAGTTTTTGACGAACATTCTGGCACCAGGGTATCAATTATGAAACTTTTCCTAAGATGAAAAGTGAACAATTTCTCCATTAACTTCAATGATTAAAATTTTCATTTTTCTATCCATCCTAGGGATAAAGTTTCATGATTAATACCCAAAGAGAAATCTGAGAGAAGAGCATGATGCCGATATTACACTAGCAATTGGAGATTGCGTCTGCGTTCGTGTTTTGACAATCAAAAAGGACTTGTCAACAATTTCGTTCTGAGTAGTCAAGGGACACAAAGTCAATCTCCAATTATTAGTGTGATACGGGCATGAGGAGCTTTTTTCTGTAATCGCAAACTACTCCCGCGCGCTACTGACCTCTGAAAAAGTGGATGTTGAGCGAATTTTGTCTTATAATATGCGTCTGCATAAAAAAGGAATTACGAAGTTATGTTTTTTATATAAATTTTCAGCCTATTTTTACCAAACATAATTATGTGACGAGGAATAAGTCTCTATGATGAAAATAATTTCGATTTTTCATCGGTACAAACCACGCAATCATCGGCATCAATCTCACGCGAGGGACGGCGAGAGACCTTTGCATATAATAAATTAATTACTAAAATATATTTGCAATTCTGTAATATTAAAAATGTAAATGTCAAAAAGCAAGAAGTTAATATTTAACTTATTACTTCAGTCAAAGTTCTATATGACTTATTTAAAAAAGGAAGGTTACAATTTTCAAGATTTTCACGATCACAGGGATCGTTTTATTTCTATGTTTTCTTAACCCCTATTAAGCTGGATCTCACCAACGCAATGTTGGGACAATGGAGTTTTTATTATTTATTGATATTTGTTAATATCAGTAATGTAATTTTTTATTTTTTTTTTTGCACTGTCTTGGAGCAAAAAGCAATAAAATCTAAAGTACTTGTTTTTATATCACAACTCTATATACATTTTTTTATTATGAGGGGATCCAGTTTGCCATTAACCCCTCATTTTTTTTACTGCTAAATGGTTAGGGCAACAAAATTTGCTCTAATTCAATAAATTAGCAACAAAATAGCACTAAATTTTTTAATATGTCCCAACTCAATTTGTGGTAGGAGGTCCATCTTAATAGAGGTCTAATTGACTGTTCTTAAAACTCGAAAGAAAATGTACATTCGTCTACTCTTTTTTTTAATTATTCACTGGCTTAATTAATATAGTTGAGTATAATCGTAATGATTAGAATTAGTCAGGGATTCGATAGTGCAACGCTTGATGCGCTAACTCGTATACAAGAGACGCTCAATGAAAAAGTGAAGAGAGCTAAAGGAATATCAAAATGTAATCAATTAAGATCGGATTGAACATCTAATTTCAAACCCTTTCAAATCTTAAACGAGATTAACTCGATTTGTTAAATTTGTAAGTAGAAGTTAATGAACGTACGAAAAAACTAAAATCGGAACTTTTTGTAAAAAGTTAAAAAAAGAAAACGTTAGGAGGATTTAGTTAAGTATAACGTAATAGAAAAATAAATTATTATTATTACATGATTATTTCATTATTATTGACATTAAGTTTTATTATTATTATTATTATCATCATCATCATTATTGTCACTATTAATTACATGTATATGATATTGTCACGAATTTAACAAATGTATATATGATTAAAGAATTTGTTATAAAAACAAGCTGAGATTTCTACCAGAAAGAGAATGATAATAGAAAACCTACAATAAAGAGATGTATTCTTATGATAAATACAATCATTTTTGAATATCCTATACTCCCTATTACACATATACATATATAGACTTAATAAAATATAAATAGGTTGTAATATATTAGCTGTTATTCTCAATAGTATTAATAAAAATAGTATGCGCTCTATTAATAAATTCATCTTCAAATTCTATTGAAAATCGAAAACAAACATATTGTCATTAAGGAAAACTTTATGTCAATTAATTATACATATAATTTTTGTATCAATTTGTAGTAAAGAACAGAGAATACAAGAATTATGAGAAACCCAATGTTTTCATACAAGTTTAATATCATGAGATATCGTTTATTTTATTTATTTTTAAATGTCCAAATATTCATTTCTAAACATTTAAGTATTTCTTATTTTATCTTTTATGATTAATTGTAGTATTCTTGTATGAAACAAATTTATTACTTGTATGAAACAATGGAAATCTCCTTGCTCTATTATTCGTTTTATCTAAGAGGAAGATTCGTTATCATTTCTGAAAATAAGTGATTTCGCAAGACTGGAGCGTCAAAATAATTCTCAAAAACAAGTAAAATGGAGAATCCCTCTTCAAGAACAATTATCAAAAAAACTAAATTACCGCTAATTTATTTCTTTCACTATCTTATTTATAAGACAGCATCTTCTTAATTTTTTTTTTTTTATATGAATTGCTCTATATGGAGTAACTTCAATTTTTTGTACACATATTGAAAAAAAATGTATACAATGAAAAAAAAAGAAAGATATACACTGTAAAAAATAAAATATTAATTTTAACTTAAAGACATATAGTGAATTTTCTGAAACATGTTAAAATGCAAAAATGT